TATTTTAAGCCAACCATTCACTGAGAGAAGCAAAATATAACAAAAATCATATCCAAACAATACTTTTTTTGCTTTAAAAAGGGTGTTATTTTGAAGTGTAGTTTCTTTATAACATTATTAATGTAATGAAATAAAACCCTAGTGTGATGCACTGTATCCAATGTGACATCCTGTACTCCATGTTCACCACTTTCATATGGCTATGAGATATTTTGTACAAAGTATGCTTTGTGAGAGATCATTTGAAAACTCATAATCTGCTATGTTTCCGGGTGACACTCCCAGACAATTTGGCATCAGCACTGCCTGGCCTGCTTGATGGCCCATTATGGGCCATCAGCTACAAAACTGACCCATTGAGAGAAGGCAAGGGTTACACCTTATGACTCAGCAAGGCATGCAGGGGCATGCCTATGGACAGAAAAGGCTTCCAAGCCATGTGCTGGGCAGCTTGTGTTTGAAACAAAGAAAGCACAAGCCGCATGGCAAAAGACTATAAAAGACAGCTGCATCTTCTCCATCTTGTCTTCAATCCTGCTTCTTACCTCTGGAAGAACTTTGCTACAAACTGAAGCTCTGAACAAAGGACTGAATGACCCATCTAAGCTGTGGATGTGTTCCAGAGGGACTTTCAAGCCAGCAAACTCACTAATACTGCTAGGAACCTGATGGACTTTTAAGTTTTCGTATGTATGTGACTGTTTTACCATTTAACATCTCTCTTCTTGTTCTTTCTTTTTTCTTTATAATAAACCTTTAGTTTTAGACACTAAAGGATTGGCTGGTAGCGTGGTATTTTGGGTAAGATCCAAACCTATACTGACCTGGTAACATGGTTGACCCTCTGGGGTCAGAAGAACATTTTGTATATGTGAGCAGAATTGTTTAAATAAATTCTCATTGTAGTGGACCTACTTGCTGATTGGGAGCCAGAGAACTGGAATGCAATAAAGGGGGCTGTGTGATTTCTTTTTTTGCTTCTTGATAACCAGTGTGGGAGATCAGAAGCACAGTTGGTGACTGGTTGGAGAGTTTAACTTCAGTGTTACCCGCCAGTCTTGGCAGTATCTGCTCTCCCTTTTGCAGCCTGCCTTGACCTTGACATTTCCAGTGAGGGCTGCCCCAGGCACCACCAGTCACACAGGGGATGTTTTGTCTACACCCCAGCTGGGGGTAATCCTCAGAGGGGGAAAAGGTATAGGAATGGAGAACTCACAACCCACAAACTACCTCTTTCCCCCATCTCTGCTCACGGCAGCTACAACGCTTGGAAGAAAAAAAGAAGCTTTTGGAATTAGGGGAAGGGGTCTTAGCTGGAAGGCTTTCCAGCTAGTACAGACTGCTGTAAACTTTTGGGTGAGAAAAAAAAACTTTGTGGTTGTTGTCTTCAAGATTACTTAGCTTGGTAAAATTTAGGAATTAGCTTGCATTTTTAAACTTATTTCTTTTGTAACCAGTCCTGACTAATATGCCTCATCGCTTATAATCACTGAAAATCTCTCTCTCTATTTAATAAACTTGTTTTGCTGTTTTATCTAAAAAAAGTGTGTTTGATTGATGTGTTTGGGAAATTTCTACTCAGGTCAACAGGGCTGGTGCATACTCATTACCCTTTGTTGGAATGATGGACTAATTTCGGCGGGGAGGGTACGGTTGGGACTGAGGGATATGCAGATTTCACCCTGTATATATTTATGGCTGGCTGGGCATAGCATTCACGTATTCATCTGGGAGTGACTTTACATGCTATTCACTAGCAAAGGAGAGTAAAAGGCATCCAGGCTGGAGAGCTAAGGGATACAACAGTTCAGGTCACACCCAGAAAAAATATAGCAGTTGCTATCTGGAAATAGGAACAGAATACATAATAAATAGGAGCTGGCACATTAAGCTGACTCAAGAAGAGGCCCTTCGTAAGTCCACTGTGGAGTGCACTGTTCTTAAAATAAACAACCTTCACCTCTCATAGCACTACTACTTTATCTTTTACGGCTGATCCTTTTGTATCCTCCATGTACAATTTCAGATTTAGCACACACTTACAAAGATACCTTTTAAAAATATTCTTGAATAAAGGCAAGGAAATGGAAAGCCAAATGTTTCAAATTGGTGCACGCAACTGTCTAAAAGATCAAGATCAAAGGCAACCCAAAATGTATTTAGCCTTATTTTCAGCTGTAATAAAATGGTAATAAAGTTAAAGCAGTGAAATTCACTACTTGAGCAAAAACATTAGCAGAGCAGAACAGTTTCATTAAAAAGAAAACAAAGACTGTTTTTATAATATAGTAGCACTTTCCATTAATATAGCAAAGGGCCTTAAAATCAGAGATCTGAAGGTGCTTTACAAACATTAATATGTTCTGCCTCAACACCTATATGAATTAGGGAAGTATTACCATCCCAAGCTTATTTATGGCTGTTAGTAAAAGAAACTGCAGCACACATTTCACTACTTTAATATTCTAATAGTAAGGATGGGGGGAGATGAGGAAGGACATAAAACTAAGGGTATGTCTACACTACCTCCCGGATCGGCGGGTAGTGATCAATATATCGGGGATTGATTTATCGCGTCTAGTGTAGACATGATAAATCGAACCCGGATTACTCTGCCGTCGACTCCTGTACTCCACCGCGGTGAGAGGCGGAAGCGGAGTCGACGGGGGAGCAGCAGCAGTCGACCCCATGCTGTGAGGACATGAGGTAAGTCAACCTAAGATACGTGGACTTCAGCTACGCTATTCTCGTAGCTGAAGTTGCGTATCTTAGGTCAATCCCCCGCCCCCCAGTGTAGACCAGGCCAAAGATACCTGTCTGTACTTGGAGTTCTATAAACACAGGTTCAATCATTTTATAATGTTAATAGCAACTGGCCAAATTAATGCTTTAATGCAGGCAAACTAAGGTAACAAGGCTGTTTAGGTGCCCAACCAACTCAGTTTCTGTTTAGCCATGAAGCAAAGATCAAGGGTGGGCAAATATGGAGGAAATATGTTTAGAGAATGCCAGTTGCTGCTAGTTTTCACCCTCAGGTTCCTCCTCCAAGTCATTTTCTCTGCCCTTCCTCTAACTCTCTGGGTTGAGTAACTAACTGAATTTGCAAACTCATTTTTGGGAGAGTAAATCTGACAGATTTGCTGCATTCACAACATTAATATGTGTAAAATTGTACATGGATCTCTAAGTAGCTGCCTTACATTTATGAAAGGAGATTTAGCCCACTGCCCCAACAATGGCATTGCAAATGGCCATATAAGGCGGGATTTTTTTTGTCTTAAAGAGCACCACATAATCGTACTCCAGAATCTAAGCTAGCTAACACTCCAAGAGGAAAAAAAAATGAAGGTTGAGTTTTTCAAAACAGTGCTGAATTTAGCCACACATTTCCCCTTTATACTGAGCACCCATAACTCCAGTGGAAATCAATGGGAACAACAGATGTTTAGTACCTTCAAATATCAAACTAGACCAAAGTTGGCACCTTCAAAATCAGTAGCCACTTTTGAAAGTTTTGCTCTAGGAGATGAAAGACCAGTTATTAGCCACAACTGCTAAACTGTGGGTCAGTAATAGAATTTTAGTACAGGCAGTTCTCACACAGCTTGCAGCCAGACTTTCTCTAGTCCTGATCTGAGAAAAAGAAGGGGGGGAAAAACCCTCTAGGAGCCTTGAAATCATAACAAATGAAATACAAATTATTCTGTGAAACTCAGCAGGGATGCACAAGTTACAAACATCAGCAATTCCATGATCTAATAGAAGGTGGAAGAAAAACATTTTTTTTATTAACTAGACAACTTTAAATGCATACAGAGTGAGATTCAGGGCTGCACCTCTAAGAGGAACAGCCCAGGAGAAGCCTAAAGGTGCCTTTAAGCCACCCTTGAAATCTCCCAGATCCTAGGCTACTCCAGGGGCCAAAGTGGACACTGGTGTAACTTATGACTCAGCTGTGGACGCTGCCCAGAATCTCCACAGTGCTATGTGCTGTTGCCCTGCCCATCACCCAGCTATATCCCAGCATACCCTATGTCAGAGCTCACACAATGCCTTCAGAAGAGATCCTGAGACTGTTGTCCTTATTTCCTTTCCCTGGGGGAATTCTCCCATCGTTGGAGGCAGGTTATCTGACCCAGAGAAGGATGGTTCAGTGGTTAGGGCACTAGACTGGGATTTGGAGACCCAGGTTTAGTTTTTGCTCCCGTGTGACCATAGTAAGTCATTTATTCTCTCTGTGTCTCATTTCCACATCTCTAAAATGGGGATGATAGTACTTCTGTACTCCACAGGGATGATGAGAGGATAAATACATTAAAAATTGTGAGGCTCTCAGATGCTATAGTAATGAGGGCCACATAAGTACTTAAAGGGGCTTTAATTTATCTATCTTATGTTGTTCCAGCCCTTTTATCTGACATAAAAGCATGGGTGAAAAGCGCATGGTGTGTCAATAATGAAGCCCTCAGTGCTAGCAGAACTGCTTCTAGTGTTTCAGAGCACCATACAAACAGAATAGAATTGTAAAGCAGGAGGTGTATTTGTGAAGGAGAAATACCTTTTTCCCCAATAAATGAAAATTTTACTACATCCAAAATAATGTTTTGCCTCCCACAAAATGTTTTGCATTACAGAATTTAAACTAATAATGATAAAATGCAGTATAGAAATTTTAATTAGAAAAATGCATGATGAAATAAATAGGAATAACTATTTTCAGTTAAGCCGTCTTAGATCTTTAAGTAGTTGCTTTTTTAAAATTCTTACAATTTTAGTATCCTATACTATTGCAGGGCAGCTGTCTTTGAATATAAAATTTGTCAGCTGATGAAAAGTTATTCCACATTTATAAAAAGGAGAACTACTTCAATTTCTTCAAGATTAAGTCTTACTTGTTTTCATGGGACCAGAAATTCATATAAATCATACAGGAAAATACAGGAAACCAGAGAGATGATGTTACTACTCTAGCAAAGTTTCTCCATCACAGTCTAACTTACAGCTGGTCCTGCAGCTCTACAATTATGTACTCCAGCTGTTCCTTCTCCATTTTATGGGCTAGATCCATATCTTCAATCCTCTGTAGCAGTAGTTTGTTTTGTGAGACAGATTCAGCCAGCTGGGTTTCTCTAAGGCGTACTAGCTCTTCAAGATAACCCTGAAAATGCAGAAATAAACAAAAACCTTTAGAGAATAAGAAATGGTTACTCACTGTATGCAGTAACTGTGGTTCTTTGACATGTGTGTCCCTATGGGTACTCCACTTCAGGTGTGCTGGCATCCCCTGCACGTTTGATCGGAGAGTAGGTTAGATAAATGTCTATCAGGGATGGTCTAGACAGTATTTGGTCCTGCCATGCGGGCAGGGGACTGGACTCGATGACCTCTCGAGGTCCCTTCCAGTCCTAGAATCTATGAATCTATGAATTTCGCATAGCAGTGTCCATTAAGCCCATGCATGTGTATTTCTCAATTTCGTGCTCCGTGCCGTTGTTATATAGCACTGCACGGGTGAACCAACCTCAGATCCTTCTGTACTGCAAAGCTCCACAGCAGAGAACGCCAAAGCAAAGGGGAAGGAAGGCAGTTAATGAAGCATCCAAAGGAAGACAAAACTCAAAGAACCAGTTACCGCACAGGGTGAGTAACCATTTCTTTTTCTTCAAGTAGTGTCTCTATGAGTGCTCAAGTTTAGATAACTAATGAGCAGTTTCCTCTAAGGAGGAGGGGGCTTCAACATCAAGTCCAATATCGAAGAAAATATAGCTGAGCCAAACCCAGCATTGGAAGCAGAGTCATGAGCAGTGTTACCTCTAATTTTTCCTACCCAAATGGAATGAATTTTGTTATGTGCACCAATATGGAGGTGATGTGTGACATCTGGGGTAGGACCAGGGATGAGGGGCTCAGGGCTGTGGCAGAGGATTGGGTTGCAGGGGGTGAGGGCTTTGAGGGGGGACAGGGGATGAGGGATTTAGGGTGCAAGAGAGTACTCTAGGACTACGGCGGGGAGAGAGAACTCCCCCCCAGCTCTCTCTCCCCCCACAGGAGCACCTGGGCTATGGGGGGGGGGGGAAGAGGCACCTCTCCCCGCCCTGGCAGCTCTGTGGCTGGGGCTGCAGGATAGGCATCCACACCGGAGGAGGGCCGCCCTGGCCGCAGCTGGGTCTGGGCCGTTCTGCCAGACTGGGTCCGGGCCGCAGCAGAGTTGGAGCCGGGGGAGGGGTGCCCCAGCCGTGGCAGGTTGGAGGGAGGGACACCCCTTCCTGTCCGCAGCAGGTCCCAGGCAGGTTCCCTGAGCGCCTGTGCAGCGCTAAACAGGCAGCTACGCGGCCACACAGCTTACAGGCAACTTAGGTCATGAGTTATTGACTAATACTCAAACATATGTATAGAGGTCTACATATTTCAATAATGGGAACATTATTGTGAAAGGCTGTAGAGGCTTAGAATGAGTGTGTGTATTTGAGGGTGCTTGGATATTACAAGATTGGTAGAAAGAACTAATGCAGTTGGATAGCCAGTTAGAAAGTCTTTGTTTAGAGACCGCAGACCCTTTTGATCGATCTGCAATCAAGACAAATAATTTGGGAGTCTTTCTGAAAGGTTTAGTCCTATCAAGATAGAAGGCCAGGGCTCTCCTGACATCAAATGTATAACAGCGCCTCTTCTTTGCTTAGGTGAGGTTTAGGGTGGAGGACCAGAAAATGAACGGGTTGGTTAATATGGAACTCAGAAGATATTTTTGGTAAAAGCTTGTGTAGGAGCAGGATTACACAGTCCTGCCAGTTAATGTTTATAGTTACCAGAGTCTGGATCAATCTAGTGGCCAGCAGATTGGTCACAGAGGGGAGCCAGGCTCTATCGGTCGCAATCCAATGCTCCCAGAGTTTTGGCAAGATGAACCCAAAGTCCCATGGCCTAGCACCCTGTTCTTACAGTTTTATTGTTGTTGTTGTTGAAGTCTATGGATTTTGCTGTGTCAGTTTGTGACCGGTTACTTCTTAATTGGTGTTATCTTTTGATGTTAACATTCCCAAACACCACCGAGAGGGTTATTCTGTCCTGGTTTTGATTTAATCAATTGTCTTGTCTTAAAGGGTCGTCAATCTGCCCTTCCTTAATTATTGATGCACGTTGATGGTTCTCTGGTGGTGGTAAGTTTTTTCACTCCTTCTTCCTTGACCATCTGGCTATAACAATGGTCTTCACACCTTATCTTTTTCTGATGCATACATTCCTCATTCACACAAACAGTCTTTTACAGAGACCTTTAAAGGTATACAAACAGCAGTGTTTTTTGCTCAACATAAACGACATTGTAAATTAAACTTAAGGATTGTTCTGGTTTGTTCCTGCCTTAACATCAGTAGGGACACTGGCAGTCTGTCAGATGCATTTCTACCAATGTCCCAGAGGGTCATTTTTTTCTGCTATTCAAAAAAGGGTGGCTGGCAGTATAATTAAATCCTACATTAATTCTTACGGTACAAATATAAAATCCTGCTCCTCCACCTGGGATGTGGTCGTACTGTTGACCTTGTCCTTGAAAAATATTGTGAAAGGTGGGTATGCCATAAGAGCCTTTATTTCCCCAACTTGTCAAGCCAACACGATACCTATCAGAAAAAAATGGTGGAGTGAGCAGGAAACCATCAGTTCAAATGGTGATCTTGAAAGGCATTTAAGAACCAGACTGAGGTCCCAAACTAGAGTAGGACTAGTGGAAAGAGATTTTGAGCCTCCCGAGGAACCTCATTGTTGTTGGGTAGAGAATTATGGAATAACCTTCTACTGGAGAATGGAAAGCCATGATGGTTGCTAAGTGGATTCTAATGGACCTCAGCAAGAACTCCAAGTTTTTAGTTCTAAAGGTGCAGTCCAGTATATCTGGCAGTGATATGGTTATTGGTAGAATGTGTTTGAGGTCACACCAGCAGGCAAATCTTGTCCATTTTTGTAAGTGAGTGTAGTGTGTAGATCATTTTCTGCTGTGTAACAGCATTCTTTTTTCTTCCGATGAGCATGTTGTTTCTAATCCCGTGAACCACTGAGCAACCAGGTTTTGAGACAAATAAATCTGAGATTGGAGTGAAGGATCTTCTCACCTTCCTAGGAGAGCAGAGGACTGGCAAGTGATCAATGAGTAAATGGCCATCTGTATCAAGCAAGGGAACTATGTTTGTCTGGGCCAGGTCAGAACTGTTAGAATAACTCTGGCCTTTTTCATTTGAGTAGAGGAGTTAGGGGAACACAATAGAGCCAGCAATCAATAAAGGTGAAAGGCATCCCCCAAGGATCAGTGATCGGTTATGAAGCAGGACTTGGCATTTTTCTTGTTTATTGCCATGGTGAACAGATCTATTTGAGAGGTGCATCATTGCCATAATATGTGGTGCAGTATGATGGGATCTATTTCCCACTCATGGTCTTGAAAAGTACCTGCTGAGCATTTCCGCGGTCCCATTCTGAACTCCTGGAAGGTAAGCTGCTGTGATGATGACCTGATTGCATATGCACCAATTCCAAAGCTTGACAGCCTCTGTGCCAAGGGAGCAGGATCTTGCCCTGCCCTGGCAGTTGATATAGAACATGCATGACATATTGTCCCTCATGACCTTTATGTGTTTGCCCCAGTTAGTGGTAGAAACTGGAGACAGGCATATGTGACAGCCCTGAGTTCCAGGAGGCTGATGTGCAGAGTGGTTTCTTGAGGTGTCCATCTGGCCAGGGCCATGTGAATGTTCAGATGTGCTTTCCAACCCAACAGGGATGCATCCGTTGTGACAACTGGGGAAAGGTGGGTGATAGTGACTCCTGCACAAATGTGAGGGTTTTTCCACCAACTAAGAGATTCCTTGATGCAGGTGAGTGTGGAAAGTAATGTAGTTAGACTTTGTCTGTTGTGTAAATAAACAGTCATGAGCCACCCTTGAAGACACTGCATTCTGAGTCTTGCATGGTCCTATCACGAAAGTGCCAGTTGACATGTGTCCCAATAGCTGAAGACAGTTCTTGGCCAGGGTTTGAGGGATTATCTGGATTGTGCTGATTGTGTTGGAGAGGGCCATGAATCTTTGCATTGGGAGGTAGGCTCTTGCTGCAACTGAATCGAGATAAACTCCTATTAATTCTAATTGTTTAGAATTAATCCAAGGTGGATTTTTGAAAGTTCAATTGTAGACCCAATTTGAGGAAGAGGTCAATGGCCTCACAAGTCGCCTGAGAAGTTACATCCAGGAAGCCCCCTTTCTGAAGCCAATTTTCTAGGTAAGGGAAACTAGAATTCCTTTTCTGTGGAGGTGTGCCGCTTCTACTGACATGACCCAAAAAGACCTTAAGGTAGATGATAGGCTGAAAGGGAGCACCCAGTATTGAAAATGATCCAGACTGACAGTAAAACATAGGAATAATTTGTGAGATGGGTGGATCACTATATGGAAATGTGTGTCCTGAAGGTCTAGGGCTGAGAACCAGTACCCTAGGTCCAGTGACAGAATTATTGCTCCAAGTGTCACCATTTTTAATTTGTGTGCCTTCACAAAGTTGTTGAGCAGCCTTAAATCTAGGATGGGTCTCCAACCACTCTTCTTTTTTTGAACCAGGAAATACCTGGAATAAAACCCCTTCCCTCTGTGCCACATGGGAACTGGTTATATAGCTCCCATGAGTAGGCAAGAGAGTGTCTATTTCTTGTCAGAGTAGGTTCTTGTGAGAGTAGTGGTTGAAGATGGATGGGGAAGAAGGGGCTGACAGGTGGAAGACAAGTAAAGTGGATGGAGTGCCCTGTAGAGATAATCTCCAAAACTCACTTGTACATGCCCGCTGGTAGTGGTCAAGGTGGTCACTGAAGGGAGGAAGGCAGATGAATTGATGCAGCTGGTAAGAATGGGAATGGTAACTCAGGACCTCGACCAACCTTCCAAAATTTGTGCTTGGAGATGAAAGGCTGTGAGGTCAAAGGTTGAGAAGCAAGTGGTTTTCTTCTCTGGAACCTGTCTCTTATGTTGAGGTTTGTATGATCTCTGGGAGCTCAAGAATTGGGCGGGATGGGATCTCTGCGCCATCTGGGACTTGCTCAACTCTCTCTTGTGGGTAAGTGTATAGATCCTGAGAGAACACAAAAGTATCCTGGAGTCTTTTAACAGGTGCAGAGAT